GAGCTAAGGTACCCGGCTATCCAAGGTCCTTACCGAGCCAATGTACCCAATCATTCAAGTCATCCACCCAACTGAGGTACCCATTTTCTAAGCTCCTCACCGAGCCCAAGTAAGTACCAGCCATTCAAGTCACCCGGCTAGCCCAGGTACCACCAGCAATGCACGATACTCACCTAACCAACTAGCCTCATCGAGCACTACACATCCCCACTGAACTGAAACTGCCAGCCAGCCAGCCGTACGTATACACAGCATAACGCCTCACCACAACGCCCAGTACTCGGCCATCGGAACACACTGTGAACACTACATCTGCTTGCCATCCCACAGCATTCGAGACAGATGCATTAAAAATATTCCACAACGCCTCACTCTCAACAAAAATATCACACACAAACCATAATAGAGAAAGATACATACACTTACTCGTACACATAAGTATAGCACAACCATTCGACTACCAGTAACATAAGTGGGCACATAGACAGCGTAAAACTCGAAAATACATCAAGTACAGCATCGAGAGACAGCAAGCACGCCTAACTGAAACTGAAATATCACAATTTTGAAGACGAACACTAAAGGCGTATCCAGTTCAGAGCACACAGTTCAACTGATGCTGCACACACATACACGCACACATACACACACACACAACGTTGCTACAAATTGCACTCAACTGAATTTCGACTGCAATTCAGCATAATAATATACTGAACAACAACACACTGATCATCTGAATTTTTGTGTATTCCTCTTCTAATGTTCATCATTCGAGCACTATTCATTGATGCTATGCTATGCCCAAAACAATCCAACTGCTATATTGTTTTCTAAACGTACGTATCTTGCATTGATTGGGCAGTGCTTCGGTTGGTTCTCTTGCAACCGAGAACACATCAACCGTTGAGCACTTCTATTCGAGACACGTGCAGCATTCGGCAAAAACTTGCAAATCAGTGTGCATTATAAAACATTGCAACAAGTAATGAACTCTTCAAACGCTCTAGCAGTAGTAAACACGGTGATTACGTGTATTTCATCACTTCAACACTCGAACTGCACATTTTCTCGAGTTTATTCTAGTTGCGACCTAATCTTAAGATTACACTTTAGTTTACACACTCAGACGTTTGTTAGGTTTATACTTAGGTTAATACTTGAGTATAGGTTTTTACTCAGGCTTAAATTTAGGCTCAGGCTCAGATTGAGGCTTAGGTTTGGAAAGATGTAAGGTATCTCTGGATCGGTGTATACGACTCTACATCTAGTCGGTCAGTCACCCAGCCCTGCAGCATTCAAACGAGCTCTACAGATTGCATTCAACAGCATCACAACGCACTTATTTCTGAATACGTCTACAGATGTGCTCACGGAAAATGAGTCGATGTCATCTAAATATTAATGAAAACAAGCTGCACAAACCATTCAAACATCTCACTACTGATCTTCCAGCCAAACCGTTCTCTGTTCTATTCCAATCCTATTCCAGTAGAAGAAAGAACACTTCCAAAAGGACTGAAGAACAGAACGGAATATAACAACTAAAGGGTGAAAATAGAAAAGAATTGGTACAGTTTGTAGAAATTATGGTACAGGAATATCAATGATTATCGCATCAAATCAGTTCTATGATAGGTAATCATCATGACTGGTGCACTGTAAAGCTGCTTGTTGATTGCGTTTCCCTTAATGTTGCCTAGTTACAAAATATAAGTTGATGTGAGTTGCGTGATGAAATTCATTAACGTTAACGTCAATTTAACGTTAACGATAAAAAAACTCACGTTCGTATTTAATGAAGTTAACAACAATTGTTTGCTTGGCTTTGCATAAAGTACAAAGAATACTGATTATTATTATTAATGCAGAATAATAATGCAAATTTATGTCATCACTATTTTGTTCACATTTTGTATTGATGATTAGAGAAAGGCAGAAATCTGATAACAAATTGATCGACACCTGCATTTGGGGAAGAATGAAAGTGAAGAAAGACCGAGGAAATCCAGGAGAGAAGAAACAGAGAAGAACAAGAGTGTGACCTTAAAAGTGAGCAAAATGGGATACGTTAGGATGGGAAAAAATTTCGACGAAACTAGAAACTATTAGTTTCAGAGATGCACAGACAGCCAAAGAAACGAAAACAATAAGAAAAACAAAATATCACGAAATTAGAGAGGATATGTTGAGCACAGAGTAACAGAGAAGAAAAGCACACCAGCTCAGCTACCCCAAAACAGGTGGTAATAAGCAAAAAATAGCTGACAATGTTGCTGGCGGAGAAAAAAAGATGCAAAAATCTGAAAATCAATATCATATCACACTGCTAATCACAATAAGAGGCAGAGAAGAAAAGCACCGATATGAATAGGCGTTCTGAAGAGGTTCAGACGTGAGAGTAACACCACCGTCAGCACAACACAGTGTTGAATACAGAGTGCCAGAGAAGCTGGGTGTCACTGCTCTAAAAGGTTAACCCTCAACTGCCATACTCGCTATTAGCTGTCAATACTATATACGCACCGGATGGTCGAGAGAGGAAGAGAAAGAAAGAAAGCGAGAGAGTAACAATCTGCTCATAGGCATCCACCGAGAGTATTAAGATTAGACATCCAGAGTGAAGGAAAACGTGCAAGTTAGACGTCAAAAGTTAAACGAACTATGAACAGCAGACGTCGAGAGTGAAATAATAAAACATGCAAGTCAGAGATCATCGAGAAAGTGAAAATGAAGGAGATGCTGATAATTGAATTATTCGCGTTATCTCCGTTATCAGGATATCACTCGAGAGTGATATCCTGATAAAGAGATCAAGATCACGAGATTTTCAAGGCACATACCAATAAATAATTCATTCCCAACAACAGCTACCATTAAACAACCCAATGAAATGCACCACAAAAAGCCGTGCACATGGATGAAATACGCTCAACTAAATCCCAATGCATTGCTTTGATAATAACTCTGCGAATTTATATGCTCGCATTCGACACCCTCTATCCAGCCTACTGAGTCAATATTACAACATTGCGTGCTCAAAAAAAAAACACAAACGTCCTCTGCGTCTCTGATGCACCCTATCTGCACTTAAGTCAGCAACCTCATCGAGTATGACGATCGACCGATTTCCTGAACCGAACAGGCTAAATCCAACGAGAATCCATAGGAACATGTATGCACAAATAAGAAGGAAATTCCGCACAAAATATCGCATCTAAGAGAGAGAAAACCGTGCAGAGAACGTAAAAGAATCGACAGATGTACATGAAATTGAGAGATCAAGTCGGGTGGAAAAGATAAAAAGACGGACGCAAACAGAGTACGTACATATTGAAAATTTTCGTGAAAATTTGTGAAAATTTTCGCATTGCTTGAAAAAATGCTGAAACTAGAGCTGTCGTTGTGCTCAATTTTTATCACTGCTTCTCCAAAAATCCTATAACCTCTCCTCAGTATTTATAGCAACTTTCTATACCTGTTTCTGTGCAAATTCCATAACACTTATCCTCAAGTCAATTTCTGAGCAAGTTCAGTTATTCAACAGCAAATAATACTAGTAGCAGTGTTTGCTTGTTTTATGCGATAATTTTACTGTTGCAAAATAAATAATTTTGTGGGAGATGCGCCGTAATATTAGATTGATTTGTGTGCTTTTGCCGTATTTTTTGCATCTTTGTACCTCTTATCATCCATTTTTAAATTCTGTGTTCAGTCTTGCATTTTATTCCATCACTATCTTCAATCTTCTATTCATTTTCTATCAAGAGTTGGGTCGGAGGCCACCGAACCATGACGCCCCCCCCCC